TATGTTNGTTCTTTGTTTTAATCTGATCTGAAAGTCCAAACCTCACATGTTTGTATTTGTGATGGTAGGACAGAAATTGGTTATTTTAAAAAAAAAATAACTATTCAGTATTTTTGCTGTATTAAAAAGTTACCATACTCATAACTATTTCAGTTCCTGTTGCTAAATAAATTATTCTCGCAGGTTTATACAACGCACCTGACTGTAACCCACAGCTAATCAATCACGCTGTGTTGGTTGTGGGCTACGGCACAGACGGAGGACAGGACTACTGGCTAGTAAAAAACAGGTAGGGGTGTTTTCACATTTACTTTTTTTTAGCATTTGTTCTTTAACAAAATGATTAAACGTGATATTTATGTGGTTGCAGTTGGGGAACGACTTGGGGAGAAGGTGGATTTATCCGGATTGCGAGGAACAAGAAAAATCTCTGTGGAATCGCAACGTTAGGAGTCTACCCAACGCTGTGAAGTCAACTGAGATTTATTCTGTTTTAATTTTATGTTGCTGGTTTTTGAAAGAAGCACACTGTGCTGTCAGAGCACTACAGAATCTACTAACCACACACTGCTGGTTCAAAAGGTTCTATAGGCCAATATAATATATTTTTAAAGGATTCAGTGCTGCAGGTGGGAGCACTGGGTTCAAATCCTGCTCTGAGGTCTTTTTGCAGGTGGTTTGCATGTTTATCCTCTGCATGAGTCAGTTTTCTTCATGTATTCCAGGTTCCTCCCACATAACTAAATCATGTTAGGTTAATTGGTATTTCTAAATTAAGATATGAGTCCTGTGTGTATTTGTGGTGAACTGGCGACTTGTCCAGTTCCCCCTCAGCTGTGGATGATGAGTGAATATTAGCTTTAATCTGAACTGCTAAAATGCTCTGCAGATGAAACAGATGGAATATTCAATTATAAATTATAAAATTAGTACCTGGACTCTATAAAATGGGACCATTAAACTTTACAGATTTTGTTTTTACATTTTCCAAATTCAAAATTTTGATGCGAACACTTATGTTTCAGGAATGTCAATTTTCCCAACACAGGGCTATCTCTAAATACAGATAAAATGCAACAAAAGGTTGAGAGTAAGTATTTGAGTTTTTGCGAAATGTTTTTTTTTTTTATCAAATTATTCTGCATACTAGGAACTCACAAAAACTAGTCCCTACTGACAATAAACTTCCCTGTTTGTCTTTATTTATACAAACCCATCAGTTTAGATCCAGACCTCAATGTAATTTATAGAGATTTCATCTGATACACAAACACAAAGTAGCACATTATTGTGAAGTCAAAGGAAAAGAATAAATTTTTGTAAAAAAAAAAAAAAAGATTTTGTATGAATAAAACTCTGAAAAGTGTACTTCACATATGCGTTGAGTCATTCCTCTGCCTCCCTGCTCCGCCGTGCCTTCAGACGGGTTTCAACGATGACCACCAGCACCATAATTTTGACCCTTTCCCTAAACATGACTTTAAGTATATGGTATAATCCCTGCTTACGCATCACTAAATCCTCTTTTTACTGGTAGGGTTGTGCTTAAAGAGGAATTAAAAGTGCTTGGGGACTGGTGCAGAAGGCAGGACCTTAAAGCCTTTAACAAACTACAAGCTAAATTCAAGTCATACAAACATTAGAACTGAAACTGTGTGCAAAAAAACGGTGGGATTCATCAAACAGACGAGACACATCTTTAAATGCTTAAATGTCTGACAAAGGTCAGAAACGTCTTTTCTTTTGAATGTGCTCAAGCCCTTTCAGTAGATTAAAAACATGATGGCCAGCTAAATTATTCAGTGTTTGGAACAGACACAAATAGCTCAACAGTCTTCTTTTAAAAACTGTGTGCTATTTTCAAGCAAAAATAAATAAATAAATAAATAAATAAATAAATTTTCTTGTTGCATTTTTGTTTCTCAATGCAAAAAGCATTTATGAGAAAACACATTTTCTAAAACATTTTTCAAAGGTGAAAATATATATTTTTTTAAACTCAAGGGAATTGACGTAGCAGTAAGAAGCTGATCTAGTTTTTGCTCTCCGTTTTCAGGAAGTATTTGTATCATAATGTGATGCATTTTCTAAGTAAAAAGAAAAAAAGAAATACTTGTGTGTTGCTGAACCTGGTTACCTCCTGCTGTTTTAACTTGATAAATAAAAACCAGATCTGTCTCCATCGTGGGCGGTGACTGAGGACTCGCTCACCATCTCCTCCTCCAACTCTCTGAGGTTGCATTCCCTTCAGAAGAGAATCCTAAAACGATTCAGTAACAAAACCGTGTGGATTATTCAACGCAGGTGCCGCTTTAATTAATCTTTCTCTAAATTTCCAAAACTATATACATTTTTTGCTTTCATTATTATTCCTTGACTTTGCGTCAACTGGAAAATAAGGTTTATTTTTGATTAAACTTACACATCAGTCAAACTAAATGAGTTTCTGAAAGTATTCAGACTTCTATGACTATTTGATGTTTGGTTTCCTGTGACTGAATTTTATTCAATCATCACATAACAGCGCGAAGGCAGTAAAACACAAACCAATCTGTGCTGTAAATAAAGTGACAGACATAAATATATATATGTTATATATATATATATGTATGTTAGATTCACTGCAGAGGTGTGTCTTTTTTTTCATCCGAAGTTGTGTGTAAAAAAAATAAAATTAAATGGGCAAAAAAGAGCTGAGAAACCTTCTTCCATCTCCTCTGTGGATGATCTGGGACGCATTCACGGCTGGTTTTTGCTGCCACCAAGTGGACAGAAAACGCCTAACAGCTACTGCATGGCGATTTGCAGGTGTGAAGCAAGCGTGGAGTTAAATACTCGCTGAATGAGCCTAGAAACAGTCTGGTTTCTCCCCTTGGCAGCTGCACAGGTCAGTGATGGTTTAACCCTCTGATGCGTGAGTGACTGACAATACAGTCTTCCGTGAGTGGGTCCTTTTTGACCCGGGTTACAATCAATGTGTTTTTATGCTACTTTTGTCATTTTGATTCAAAATAATGTTTTGTATAATACTTTCTTCTGTGTTTTATTTCACACAAGTCATAAAATGACTCATGCTGTTAATCTTGAGGTGAAGCAATCATCAGGAAGAGCATTTTAATATTCAGGTGATATTGGCTCATTGCAATATTTGATACACAGATCAAATGAAACCTGTGGCTTCATGTGGCTCTGTTTTTTTTTTTAAAGGATCAACTTTTATGTGCAATAGTGTTACGAGAATAGATAATGCTAGAGTTTCTTCTCCCCAAGGCAACAGATGGCCAGTAGTGTGATTTAATGCAATTCCTGTGGAAATATTCTAAATTCAAAGGAAATTTCAAACTGAATTTAGACTTAGATGTATCAAAATTACCTTTATACGCAATGCAAGACATTATTTTTTTTATTATTTTTATTTTCATTATAATTTTCCTCATAGAACTGGATAACTGGCACAAATGTGCAAAACCCAGCATAAAGAACAAGTCTCACAGAAAATACATACAGCACCTTTTCAGCATCACCAAAATAATCTCAATATCCATGATAATAAATACTATATTTACCAAGATCTTCAATCTTCATTTACAAAACACAAAGACAACACATAATAGATTTTTTTTCATATTTAACTTTTTAGAATTGTTTCCTTGATCTTTTTTTCCCCACAAAGTCTGTACTTTTACATAGAAACATTTACAGTTTCCACACACAATACACTGAATTTTGAAGTGAACTTACATTTAGAGAAGAACCTTTATTAGTTAATAAACAGATCAGAGTCAAACTGAATAAAACACAAATGTAAACTCCTTTTATCCCACATAAAATGAAGGATTCTCGCTGTTCTCTGCAAATGAGTGTTTTTCCGGGACGGGTAGATCCTTTTTTTTTTTTTTTTGGTAAACAAGTCATTCAGAACCCATCTGTATGTTCATAGGAGTTGATCAGACAAATATCATGCCATGAAAACACCTTTAACAGACCACCATAATCAAGGGAAGTAATTCTGATGTCTATATGCTGCCATGAAACTCAAACCAGAAATAAGTTTTTCATTTGTATATGTATAGATTTTACAGATGGCAACAGTTGGTTACATTTTGGACAGGAGCTTACACTTTAACAGAAAACTTTTTTAATAAGTCATGGCCCTTCTTATTGCTTACCTGTCCTCTTTTCTTCCATAAACTCAAACAAGTAGGTTCATGTGATTTCTAACTTTTCGTGCATAATTTATGCACATTTTTGGCTCCCGTTACTATTGCCTCTTCCCGGCCTTCCCTATCTTGTATCTCTGACAAGACTGATGTGTTTCGAGCTGCATCATCTTCAGATATTTATTGATAAACTGTATGAGTGTACTAAGGTAACTTGGGTCCAAGCTGTACAAGGAGATGAGTTACCGTCGACTAACTGTCATGTCATATAATCAAGTTCGACCAACGTTGACCCCACTTTGATAAAGAACAATCATTGCAAGCAAACAGATCTATGTCATCATACAACAATGAAAAACTCTGCTTCTCTTGCTTTAGACAAAAACAGCTGGCATACAGGACATCCAAGAGATTAGACAATACGATACAAACATGCATCAAGATCGGCTGGATACAGAAATCTGATGGGTAAAAAAGTTATTTTTGTGGATGTTAGTCATGCTTTTGCTTTGTGTTTAATCAGTCAGGTCATGTTTAGCTTCATTTAAAGCCTTTTCAAAGACATTAAAATCTATGCTGATGAAAAAAAATCAAATTAACTAAACATGTGAACCATCATGTTTAGTGATTTTTATTTTTTTTATTCAGTCAGTTTCTATTGAAATAAGCTCAAATATTTGATTCAATAAACAGCTAGCTTCACTTAGCATTGTAACAAAAAATTTTAACTGAGGTATGTAGATGGTATGGTAGGTATGTAGATGCAGTTTTTATGGGAGGTATGAAAGATCAATAGAAATCAATAAATGGATCATGAACAAACTCAGTTACTTTTAAAGAAATAACTCATGTCAGTTTTATCTGCTGCTTTCACAACTTGCTGTATTAGCTAGCTATGCTACATGGCTAACGCTAGTTGCACATGAACTAGCAACAGTTTTTGTTCATATGTGAAAGAATAAATGTAGTTGTATAAAGTTACTGTATGTCTGGCAGCCTTGCATTTCCAATGCTAATATGTTTGCACCACATGTGCTATGCTAAACTATGCTAACAGAAGTAAAGAGCGGTCTGACTTTTTGTTTTTGGAATGACATAAAAATAACAAGTCTGCAGTGTTTTTAAGTTTATATTATGCAGTTATTTCCTTTACTTTAAGCCCTAATGTTTTAAAATGTATTCTTATGTTGTGTTTCAAAGATTGTTTTGGTTTTTTGGGCAAGTCCACTTCGCTAATGGAAAAAAAAGTAAGCTACTGTTAAGTACTTTTATATCAATAATATATTAATACAACTATAAATAGAAAAAATAGAGGAATTTAAAAACAAATTTATGAATTTCATTTTTCTCTTTACTTTAAAAAATATGTGTAGTAGTAAACAATTGTGTGAAAGTAATTATCTTGATTCGTAATAAGAACCGTCTCCTATTTGTTAACAACATATTCCTTTAGAAATTCATCTCCTCGTTCTTTTGCAGATTTAATTTTATGCCACCCACAACTATAAAATAACAGTACGCTACTAGTAAACACATGTACACAATTTAGAGGATGTGTTAAGGTCAAAATCTCACACTCACTGATTGTCAGCACACATGATGATGTGAAACCTCAGACAAATGACGCCAAGAATCAATAATAAGCACAATCCATTTTGTATTCAGAATGCTTTAGTATTAAGTTGGAGAGCGGTGCAGTGAGAGATAATTTTTCAGTAAAAACTTAATACGGTGAGGAATGACTGAACAGGAGCCCTTAAAATTAACTCACATCTTCCCTATATGCTCTGCTGCCTATATTTAGTTTTGGTCCCGTTTGTTTAATGGCCAAGGTGATAAAGGAAGGACTTGATCTGATCCCAAGTAGAAACTGCTGCAGTTTTCTGTCTGTCTGTGCCATGACATGCTCTGCACTATGCGCTCAATCATTACCAAACAGCTATCAATGCCAAAGAAAGAGCATGAAACAGCAGAAATGCTAAACGTTAAATTGTACAACGTTTGAAGCAGCACATCCTGGACTGGTGTGTTTGTAGGTGTATTCCCAAATAAATACATTTAAAGCTGCAGAGTTTTATTTATTACAGAGTCTTAGAACTAATTTTAATCATTTTAATATAATATCACAGTGAGTCTTGGTATCTGCAAATCACTCACTGACCTCCAGGACAAAAAAAAAAAAATCAGATTGGGGAATTTTGAATACAATAAGAAACAAATCATCTTTAGGATAAAACTACCTAGACCTGCTTAAGGTCTGGGATTTCCTCCTGAGTCTGAGGACATAAGATGACATTAAGAGTTGTTTTGAATCTTTATGACTACAATAAATCAAAATATGAAAACATTCTGCTGACATAGAAACAAGCAGTCAATTCGATCGACGTACATTAACCTTTTTGTGAAGCTAACTCCAAAACCTGATTTTCACCTAAAAACAAACACTTCAACCTCCCAGTTTTTCCATCCACAAAAGCTCAAACACAACTGGCTCCCTTAAAACACACAGCTAATGCAGACAAAAAGCACATTATGGTCTCCTCTCACACATAAACATTTGACCAAAATCCATCCCTCTCACCCATGAACATCCACAGACTGTCACACACAGGGAGGGTAAACACCAGCTTGACACGGAGGAACTAGATCTAAGAATCCTGTGAAATGCATCTCCGTCTGTTTGTCTGAGGAAATCAGCTTTACTGAAATGTTTTAGTGGGTTTTGGTAGGTAATACCAGCTTCCAGCGGGCCTGGCAGTGATGAACTGAACTATTAGAAAACAGTATAATAAGTAACAGCTCTGTAAACCAGTCATGGAGATTAAGACACACGAGTAAAGAAGAACGCTGCGATTTCAGCGTGCATGAGCTAAATCTTTCCCACAACAAATGCTTCTTCTTTTCAGTATTTTCTGCCACTCCACTGTGACTGTGTCTTAGTACAAATACATATTTAACCACCTTTGTAGGATTAGACTTTTGTAATACCTGTCAGAGCAGCTGAAAATAAGCCACAGGTGTTGAGATTTCTTAAAAAAAAACAAAAATGTTTGCTCTTCTTTAATACCTGACATTGAACGATGCAATCCACATTTCAAAGGATTCTGGGCTTACAATAGGGGGGCAGGCAGTCTCTACTGTTGCTGTGAAACGAACGGGCAGCGCTGAAGCTCTCGCGGATATTCAGGCCTATCACTCTCTCCCTCCTGCTGAACTCTGCTGCCTACTGCTGGTCGTCTGCCTTACTGCAACACCTGGCCTCTCGTCTCAGGCAGCTTTGTCGCGAGGAAACTGCCGGCGGCGAGCGCTCCGCCGGCGAATAAGATGGGTACGGCCTTCGTGATGCCCACGAACGACTGGAAGATGCTGATGCCCAGAACAGCTGCCAGTTTGCAGAGGGCGTTCAGGAAACCGAACGCTGTGGTCCTGAAGACAAGAACAGAGAGCAGCTATCAGTTCCAAAATGTAGAATATTTTAACATAAAGTTTTGTGGAAAAGTCCTAAATCATTCCTCCTTTTGTATCCAAGTAGGAATGCTTTCTTGTCATCTCCTCAAAAAGCTTTCTGAAGGTCTTTTTTATACATCCACTTACTTCTGACCTATGACTCATCCAGGTATAAAAAGCCTCCTTCTGTATTTTTCGGACTATAAACCGCTACTTTTTTCCTAAGCTTTGAACCATGCGGCTCATAGCCCGGTGCGGCTTTTCTGTGGATTGAACTTCAACCACCAGGGGGCTCTTTAGCAGGAAGTAAATCATTGGAAGTCAAAATTGAAAATCAAAGAAGAAAGTGCTGATTTTCATTTAGAACAAGCACATGTAGCAGCAAATTTAGGACGCAGCCCTGTGCTGCCTCCTTGTGGAAAACCGAGAGCGGTGTGGCTTATATATGTACATTTCCAGTTAAAAAAAAAAAAGACTTTGTGGGTGTGGCTTGTAGTGAGGTGCGCTCTATAGTCTGGAAAAAACGGTATATACTGTACTGAAATCCTTAACTAATGACGTTTGTATACATAGCAGAGATGTTCTGATTTTTTTTTATGTCGTAACCACAAACTTTGATGCATTTTATGTACGGAGCAACACAAAGTATTGCATAATTATAAATCGATAAATTATTTGGATTTTTTAATTTTTTTTTACAAGTAAAAATCTAAAATGTGTGGCATACATTTACTAAGGTGACGTTTAAATTTTACATAATATTTGTAATATTTAAATACTTGATGTAAATAATCTAATTATTTTGTTTCTTTAATTCTCTGCTATTTTTTATTTAATTGTTTTTTTAAAAATCTATTTCTCTTATTTTTTATGTTCTCACTAACTGTTTTGTAACCATTAAGTCCCTTGTTTTATGTTTCATTGGGTTTTATATTTATTGACAATCGCAGTGGAAACAAGCTCTTTTGTGTTTTGCGTCTTTTCAATATTACTGTCACAAAGATGCGATTTGGTTCCATTTTGTATAGCTGAATCAATTTAAAAAATACAAAAGATAACAAAGAAAACAATAAAAACAGACATTTTGAAAGACATTTGATTTGATTTGATTGGGTAACTATTAATAAAAACCACTTCGAGCAATAAAAACACCAATAGAAAGGAGTTTGGTGTCATAATGTTGTAGCATAAAATCTGCTTTTAGATGTAAAAACATTTACCAAACATTGTTTTAGAATCATAAAGTACTTGTTTTGAATAAAAACAAAAACTGCAGGATTTATTCCAACAAAAAAAAAAGATTTAAAGGTGATCATTTAAAACAAACAGTTTTCACTTCTGGCACCTCAGTCAGAGGGGTTTCCATAGTTACCGATCCAGAAACGATTAACTATGAAGCTGTTCTGTGCTGCTGTTGTGCTACCTTTTATCTGACGGGTACAGCTCCACCGTTATCACATCCAGGGCGTTCCACGAGGCGATGCTGATGCCACCAAACAGACACAAGAGGGCGATCATCCCCGACTCGCTGTTGCCGAACATCAAGAAGAAGCAGCTGACACAGGATATGATGCTAGATCCCGCTGGGGAAGAAGAAAAAAAACATAACTTTTAAATCAATTTTGCAGTCATACCAAATGTTGATATTCATACTTGATTGCGTTTGCCTACCCAGCATCCTCAAACGGCCAATTTTGTCCATCAAAAGCGCAGACACAATGTTCCCAGGGAGCACAGCTAGTGTACCGAGGAAGTTGACAAAGTATATCATGTAGGCGTTGTTGAAGTCATCGCTGAAGTCCAGCATACAGCCCTCTTTGTTGTGGAGGAACGTGCTGTTGATCAGCTTGCAGTTGATGAACCTGTACTTGAACAAATCTGAGGAGGGAAAGAAGTTGCATAATTGTTCCCACTAAGGACTGCAACCTCAGAGATTCGGATCAAAGGTGAAAACTAAAACTAAAAATATTGCAAGATGTGGCGTTTCCAGGTGCTTTTATGTGAAGTCCGTATCTAACCTGACACAGACGTCTCTCTCAATTGATTGGATGAAAATCAGGAATCAACCTCCATTTTCAAGTCCCGCCACACATTCCCAACTGAATTTATGTCTGGACTTTAATTAGGCCATTCTAATATATAAAATGCTGATCTAAACCATTCTGTTGTCCGTGTATGTTTATGGGGGCCATCCCACTGCAAAGTGAACCAGTCTCAAGTCTAACCTGCATCCCTCCAGAACCATCCCGTTCACTTCTGATTTGTTCTTTATGTTTATAATCTTTGGGGTAGAAGCATTGTTTTTATTTATTTGTTTTTATTTTTTTAATTTTAGATGTTGTAGAGCTGAAAGGATGTTTGCTCTTACTTTTTCACTTTGTGAAAGTTATTTTCATGAGTAACCATAGCAACAAGAAGTTGCCATGGTTATGCAACAACCAAAAATTCCAGAGTAACGAAAAAAATAAATAAAACAATAGCACCGCCTTCTGATTCTCCCAGACCTGCATTGGCCTGAAGAAAATATGACACAATGGCTTGCCATATTTCTACTGCTTAAATTTAAACTTGTGCACACTGTTGATTTAAAACAGACAAGGGATTCTGTAAACTTCTGCATGCCATCATTGCAAACTGTTCCTGTGTTGCTGTTATTGCTATTACACAAGCCATGTTTTCCTGTTGCAGACATATTTCAGTGATTCTTGAGAATAGGGACAAAACCGGTCCTATGGATAAAACACAAAATTTGAATAAAATATACACAAAATA